AAAGAGGCACGCCCGTGCCTCTGACGAAATCACAACCATGCCTCTCGCGAAAGCCAAACCGTGACTCTCGCGAAAGAAAAAAAACAGAAAATGCGTTTTTATTTTTCCGTTTCCGAGGAGGCACGGCCGTGACTCTCGCGAAAGCACAACCGTGCCTCTCGCGGAAGTGAAACCGTGACTCTCGCGAAAATAAAACAGAAAACACTTTTTTTTCGTTTCCGAGAGACACGGCTGTGACTCTCCCGAAAGCACAACCGTGCCTCTCGCGGAAGCAAAACCCTGACTCTCGCGAAAAAAAAAAAGAAAACACGTTTTTTTCACTTCTGTGAGGCACGGCCGTGACTCTCGTGAAAGCAAAACCGTGCCCCCCGCGGAATCAAAACCGTGACTCTCGTTTTTTTTGTCGAAAAGCTGGGGAAGACCTGTGGAAAACCAAAACATCAAAAAACCCGGAAAAAACCGTTTAAAAAGGCGAAAATGCGTGCGGAAAAATAAAAAAAAATTCGGAGGGAGCGCCCAAAGCGCGATACATGGCGCATGGCTGAGAGCACCAAGTGGCGCTGATCATTACGAGGCTCCCAAAGAAACGCTCGTTAATTAGTTGCTCTCGTGATTTGATGTGATCAATCCTGAGGGTGAATTTCCAACATTGACTAGTTCTAGCAATTCCATTTGCACATTGATAAATGGTAGCTATAATCGACGAAATCTGAATGTCATGCCTATGGATGAAATCTGGATGCCATGCCTATAATATTAGTCTGACTAATAACAAAGTGCAAATTGAGGCACACTTCATTCTCCTTGCCTCTACAGAAAGGGAAGAAACACGAGAGGATGTCTAAACTCTGACGGAAGTGGCGAAGAAACTGCTGAAGGTGGTACTGCGAAGGAACTCAGTGGTAGATTAAACTTGATTTTTTTTCACTAATTAATATGGAACGGGTATAAAACATCTATCCTGCATTGTCTTGAAGATTGGTGCTGAATCACGTACATATCAAGCAAATGTTTGGAGTAATAAATAAAAACTTGGAAGCTACTGCAATTACTCGTTTGTGTTTGACATGAAGAAATGAACAACTTTGACTTGATTATCTTTTGCACCATTTGCTGTTGATGATTTGGGATTGTATTAATTGCACTTAGTCCCTTGTTGTTACACATCATGTTCAAGCGGATGACTTTTGCATCTGTAAATTCAAGTAAATAAAATACTGTAGCTAACTGTTCAACAAAACTTACAAAGCTCTTTGCACCATGTGAGTATAAAGCCCTTGATTATACTATAAAAGCAATGCTTACTCCCTGACACATACGAACCTTGAAATAAACAGAAGAGTAGTTCTATCAAAGATAGATAGACAGGTGGCAGTGGATAGATTTCTCAAAGAATCAACCGTCTAGCACACTAACGCTGGTAAACTACATGAAAAGATGAAAGAAAATCGAGAAAACACAAAAGACCTTTGCATTTCATTGCATTGAAAGGATGGGGAAAAATGCATTAATTAAAAAAGTGTTCAGAAAATTGGAACATTTCATGGATTTTGAAATTTGTTCATGATTTTTAAAAGTTCACAAAATTGGAAAACAATTCATAATTTTTTTCAAAAAATTGTCAGATTTGAAAAAACTTCACGATTCGAAAAAAAAGTTCATGGGTTTTGAAATGAAGTTCTCAGGTTTGACAAAAGTTCATCGATTTGGACTAAAAAGTTCACGGATTTGAAAAAAGTTCATCAATTTTGAAATAAAATCACATATTTGAAAAAGCATCCGGATTTTGAACAATAATTCTCGGATTTGGAAAAAGTTCATCGTTTTTTGAAAAACAATTCATGGATTTAAAAAAAGTTCACAGATTTAAAAAAGGAAGTTCACTAAAAAAGTTGCAAAAAACTGAAAAGTATTCATGGATTTTAAAAAATGTTCACTAGACAGATTGCAAAAAACTGAAAAAAAACACAGATTTGAAAAAAGTTCTAGAAAATTGAAAAAGGTTCATGATTTTAAGAAAGAATACAGGAAAAAGGAAAATAAAAAAATTGTAGAAAAACTGGCGAAAGAAAACGCAAATAATATAATTAGAGCCTTCGTTGTAGTATTACACAGTTGACGCACAACAAAAAAGAGGAAAAAACAGTTTATTGGCACGTAAGTTATTGTGGACGAGTTGGTTGTCCTAGTTGACTTGATCCGTTAGGTTGAGAGATTGTAACCTACTCTTGTCCATTTTTTGAAGTTTGGAAAAACAAAAGAAAATGTGAATGGGCCAAGCCCAGGCCGTTGGTGGAGCTTTAGGCTAGATGCTGCTCGAAGGCAGCCAGTAATGGGCCGTCCAGCATAGCTGGCGTCTAGCAAAAATGATCATAAAAGAAACGTGAATACTGTGCTACTATTTTCTAAAATGCGGGAATCAAACCAGCATGCTAACTCTAAATACAAGAGTGACTAACCACTGCACCACAATCGCTATGATGTCATCAATTGAAAAACATGCTATTTGACCATTTTTCCGGTCCCAGTATAAATTATTTGGGGAAAAACTCGTAAATATGAACAAAGATTTCACAAATTCTTAAAAAGTTCATCTATTTCAAAACCAGTTCTCAGATTTTCTCAAAAAAATTCATAAAATCGAAACAAGTTCATCGATTTTGATAAAAAAAAGTTCACAAATTTGAAAATAGTTCTCTGAATTTTGAAAAAACCTCACAGATTTGAGAAAAGTTCATGGATTTTAAAAAGGTTCATTGAGTATAATAAAAAAAGTTCACAAATTTTAAAAGAGTTCACCAAATTTTGAAAAAAACTTCACGGATTTGAGAAAAGTTCATTGGTTTTAGAAAAATCACCGATTTAGACGAAAAAGTTCACAAATTTGAAAAGAGTTCACCGAATTTTGAAAAAAGGTTCTCGGGTTTATAAAAAGTTCAACAATTTCGGTAAAGAAGTTCACTAACGTGAAAAAGGTTCACTAGTTTTCACTAAAGGTTCACAAATTCGAAAAAGTTCATCAATTTTGAATAAATAGTTCATGAACTGGGAAAATTTCACTGGATTTTTTTAAATAATCATGCATTTAAGAAAAAGAAAGAAAAGAAGGAACAAGAAAAAAAGAAAAAAAGAAAAAGATAGGAGAAAAAGAAAAAGTAAGGAAGATTTCATAAAAGGAGAAAGGATGTCTCAAATCAAATGAGGGTAGTTGTGTAGTTGGTTACCGTAGCTAACATAAAAGGAGGAAGTCGCGAGGTTGCGAGTTTGAGTGTCAACAGCCCATAGTTTTTTGCAGTTTCGAACAAAAAATGGGGCCGAAATGGGTCGGCCCAGTGCGCAGCAAGGGGTATGCACCAGTTTGCGGAAATGCCTTATTCGGGCGCTAAAGGGGCCGAATAGGGTTTGGCCCATTGGTGGTGGGGGTGGGGGAGTTGTGTGCCCGTCTCTAAACTAGCCTTGTACGGAAAGACCGTGAGGGGTGGGCCA